TAAGATACAGTCCGAGTGTATCCAGAGGTAGATGTTAAACACCAAGCTGCATTTTGGTCTCTGAACTCCCAGGCCTTCAACTAAGTACAGTTGTTCAAGGGAGCAGAGAGCTTTTGGAGCAGCAGCTGGCTTCCTGGGCTACCTCTGCTGCTGACACTCACTTCTTGTCCTGCTCTAGGGACAAGCTGTGTGGAGGCTGTGTTGGGTGGGCCAGAGGGGAGAGAGACCCTTGCTTAGTATCATTCCCCCAAAATCCAGCCTTGCAAGGCTGTTCTCTCAAGCAAGCCACCCCTCTGTGGGAGCTGTTGGATTTATGAGGGTGACTTAGCTTGCTTACCTGAGCAGAGTGGCAAGACTGAGTTTCCAGTTTACAGAAAAGAAAGGAAATGGATATTTGCACAGCCAGGCACTCATACCAGAGCAGCACTGCTCTAAAATGTAGACCCACACCTCTTAAAGAGTGATGGAGGAGCAGAGGCACACGAGCAGTGAACACAGCCTGATCTTAGGCTTATTTTCATTTTAAATTGTCTTATTTCGTCCATGTTGTCTGCATATTGACATGACAACCAATTGGCTAAAGCTTAGCTAAATACTGACCCCACTGGCATGTGATTTAAAGCTGTCTCGTGGAAAAAAGTATGAAGGATCACCAGCTGAAACTGAAGCGTTCAGCAGCAGGGCAAAGACAGCTACGGTACATGAATACAGAGAGGACCGTCCCTATGGTAATTTTGGCAGATGGCATAAGGTTGCAGGCAAGTAATAGAAAATTTTAAAACTAATGAAACAAGATTAACATAGGCCACTCTATTAGTATTTCTCCTCCCAAACAGCTCAGTCCTGATTATATTTTATATCCTCATGGAATTAAAGCACTGTACTTACTGGCAGCAAAGGGAAATTAGATCAGAATATTGTTTGTGTATGATTAACTTGCATTTCCTTTCAAACTGTGTGTGTGCGCCTGAGTCCTCCGGAACCACAGACAAACACTTCTTGATGGGAGATCTGAGCAACAGCCTATGGGGTCCAGCATTTTCTCTGGGGTGAGATAAACTGGATAACCAGAGACCTAGGTGAATACAACACTCTCGCAAATGTACATGGTGTCACTGCGTGAGAGATGTTGTCTACAAAATTTGGAGTAGGAAAAAATGAACAGACTTTTCCTGATTTATGTATCCACTGCCTTCTATTTAATCAGACTTAAAAAATTTGAGCAGATATAAAGTCTTTGGGGATCTGCCCTCTGCCCCTGACAACACAAGGTTTTGCTATACAGTACCCATCCCTATTGATTTTGGAATTCCTCTATTACAAGCTGAGGGTCAGAGTGGTTCCAAATGTGAAGGTATATTTAATCATTACTCATTCCTGGAAAGCTTTCTCCAGCTATCAGAGGTCTGCACAAGTGAACTAAAAGACAGAACTGAGAGTCGGCTTTTCAAGTTTGGTTTCCTGAAGCTGGGCAGCAATATGGGCTAGACAGCTGGGAGTATTGAGCATTTGTAGAAGAGACAGATATTCAGCAGTCCTGAAATCCTGTCTTACTGCTAAGGGTGACTCAATGTATATCTAAAAGTCAGATTTATGTGAGACTGAAGGTCCATGTCCCCTCCAGGTGCACAAGTCCAAGGGTTGGATGTCATGAGCATTTATAAAGCATACACACTATTCTTCACGTGTCTAACGCTTCACAACTATATGCCACTGGAAGCATCCTCCAGGTTAAACGAGCACAAGGACACATGCCTGAGTCCTGAAATGCTAAACACTTGAGTGAGTTTCTTAAGTCTAATGCACAAAAGGTGCACTTTTCTTCCTATCCCACTTAGCCTGTCGTCTGAGACCGAACACACGAAGACAATTTCAGACTGGATAAAGGTTTGCTTCACCTCCCTCTGTAACTTGTCACACACACCTCCTCTAATCTTTCTTGTTGTTGTTTTGGACTCCGAGATCTGTTTCTCCTGTGCACTGGGATGGGCTGCTTGTTAATGCCGGTGCCATCCTCCGCTAACACATGGCTCCCCACGGGGGTGAGGCAGCGCATGGATCTATTCCTGCTCCCGGTGTCCCAATCATTCACCCCTGGCTGTCAGCCGCAGAGGCTCAGATTCACTGCACAACATCTCCCTAACTTCAGACGCTGAGCAGAGGCACCTGGGTTTAGAGAGATGTCACCTCAAACTCAGCAGGTGGATATGAAGAGGGTGCCAAGAGTGCAGCAGCCACCGGTAGAGAGATGCCTCTCTTCTTCCACAGAAGCAAGCCACAGAAGCTGCTTGCGGTGACCATGCCCCTGAATTCCTCGCTCCCTGGAGTGGGATGTGTCTGTAGTGTGGAGGTCCCTTTGTGTGAATCACCTCACGCTGCCCCTTCTTAGACCAAGCAGGCTGTAAACCTGTGGGCTGCACCTCCTGCTGCCTGTCCTGACTGATAGACCCTTCTGTATGCTGGAGGGAGTGACGCCGATACCGTGGCTCACAGCGAAGTGAAGTGACCCTTCAGTAAAGTAATTTGGGGTATTAAGAGGGAGAAGTGACTTCGTGCTGCTCAAACACAAGGAAATCCCTATCAGTACATTCCACTGAAATAGCCTGAAAATAAATCATATACTGCTTTTATGACAGTCATACAGATTTATATTATTATTATTATCATTATTATTCTAAATTATTATTATCATTTTTATTTCCAGTAGTTTTGTTATTTGGCTTTCAAACAGAAAGAGAAAAGGGCAGTGACCTGATATTTCACATGACAGATAAAGACACATAAAGTGTCTAAACAGCCACCTCACCACACATGGGGAAGCAAATCATTTTTATGCAAATAGAGTCTGCGACCAAAATGTCTTTCTTCCTCACCTCCCTTCTATTTCATGATTAAATAAATCATAAAGCTGTCACTAGAGACCACACAAAAAGAGGTCTCAAATGGCTGAAATGAGAGCCTTCTGCATTGGTCTATTTTTAATTTCAAAAGGTATTTTGAATTAAAAAAGAAAGAGAGGGGAAAAAAAAGAGCATGATGCTATTCACATGCCTGATTTCCCAGGAGTACAAGCAAGCTCTATGTCCTCTTGTAATAACATAACAAATTTTCAAAACCAAACACAAATAAATGAAAATTAAACGGTGCTCCGTAAATTTAATTGAGATTCACAGTGTCCGATGCTTTTCAAATTCAAATTACCACCAGACAGTGCAGCCTTTTGCATAACTTATGTAGATAAAGCACAGATGATAGCTTCTTTTTCCCTCTGTTTTTTTTTTTTATTTATTTTTTTTTTAAGGAGAGACTTCAGTCCTAGTGCTGGAATTTTTGCACATAAAAGCTGAATAGTAATTTACCATTTTTCACAGAGGCACCATATCGTGTTGTGCAATGCTTGGTGTGCAGTACATAAAATAAGCACGGAGAAACAAGTATTTTTGTGTTGAATAATAGACCAAAACTGTTGTGTTTTTTTTTTTTCCCTGTCATTAGAGTGAATGCTCAAAGGTAACTACTGTTACTCTCTGTCAGAGGTCTTTGGTCTTCAGTAAACAAGATTAAATGCTGTAGTGATAACATAATTCTCCGCAGATCAGCTATATCGCTTTGGAAATTGAATATAAATATATAGCTTACCTACAGAGGGTGTGAATTTGGACCTGGAGGAAATAAATCATGGACCTTGTCTACAAAAAAGGAGCTACTCCAGAATAGAAGTTATGGAACAGATAAGGTCTAACTTACAGTTGTTCTGTTGTTTTCAGGACAACTTCACTGTGCAGTGAAGTTCCTAGTCCTTGATCTTGTAGATATTTCAGCTCTAATTAGTGTGATGTAAGGAAAAAAGCCTTTGCCTACAGAAAAACATGTACTAATCATGATTTTTGCTGTGCCTCAGTATAGAATGGACCTTCTTAGTTTGGATCTACCTGGGGACAAAAAAAGGGAAGAAAAAAAGAAAAAGAGTATTCACAGCCTGCTCTGGGATCCACATTTTGGAAGCAGCCCCTCAATTTATGACATGCCCGCTAAAAACCCGGGGGTGCAAAATCCAGCCCTAGCTTGCTCAGCTTTATTGCTATGAAAAGCCCATTTTCAAGACATTTTTTTTTTTAAGCGCAGATACTTAAAAGCACACGCACAGCCTTGGGTGGTATCTGTGCGATGGTAGTCCCATCTAGTGTGTCTGGTGAGATTTAGCAGTGCTGTCATCTTCCACCCCATGTCACTGCAGGCTTGGGGCACCTCCTTCCTTCTAGTGAGCCCTGCTGTGGGCACCACAGCGCTCATTTTTGGTGTTTTTTTTTTTTTTTTTTTTTTTTCTTGGGGAGGGAGCTGCTACGTTGTGATTCACTGATGAAAGCACTGCTCATAAGCAGTGCCCTCGAGCCCATAACTGTGTCGCTGCATCCTTTCGGGGTAGTTATAGGGAGAGTTTGTAACCAAACAACCCTGGATGCTCCGAGAGAGTTGGGCTCATCCCTCATAGCGTGGGGATGTGTTTCAGGGCCACGTTGGGTGGCTTGGGCTCTGCTCCCTGGAGGGGACAGGCTGCCTCCCAGTGCAGGGTTATTTGGTGGAATTTTCTTCCTGATGTTTACCCCTCTGATGAAAACCATCACCCTCCAGATTTTACTCCATGATTTGTTGCATTTAACAAGCTCAGCTCGTCACACCTCACATCAAACCTCAGGGTCTCTATCCTGCTGGCCAACTGAACAGCAACTGAAATAAAAGCCCATGGACCTGCGGAAGTAAATTTCCCTGTCCATTTTGAACCAGGGGGATGCAATGTTTAACCATGCAGGAGTAAGCCGAAGGGTGGTGTTCTGAAGGTGAGAGGAAGGAATGTTTTAGGCAGCTTGACTTGTGAACCAGCATGATGTTTTTGGATGGGGGGAAACAAAAAAGGGAAAACTTCCTTTAAGACCATATAGGAACATCACCAGAGACACTATTTGAACAGTTAGTTAATGGTAAAATGAAATATTTCCTACCCATGAAAGAACAAATGTATTGAATCAGATTCCAAAGATGATGTAGTATGATTAGAAATGCCAAAAGTGATATGCAGAATGCTAACTCCTGTGAGAAAATAAGAAGAATGCTTCACCAGCATTGTCATAACACGAACTCGTCATTACCACTACGCTTGGTGAAAAACTCTGTTTCCACAACACTTTTCCACGACATTCTTTAAATGGAGCAAGGGAGTAAAAACAGTGTTGTAAGGAACATCAGCCAGGATTTTTGAAAAATCAGCCTGCTTGCCATTGGAGAGTGGGTTGTGTCAAAGTCACATGCAGGAAGGAAACAAAGTTCACATACTGAAAAATGACCAGTGGCACGCGGCAAGGCCATTTTGCTCACGATGCAGACTCATTTCAGCTCAGATCCATAGCTCTGATGTGGCATCATTCCTCCACCCCGCCTACCTTGGTCTCTCCAGCTTTCCTGTTCTTCAGCACACTCTGCACCCTTCAGCTCCCCATGCTTTCCCATTCCTCCCCTTGCCTCCAGCCCAGGGACAATCCCATCCCCAGCTCTTTCTTCCCCCCGTCCCCAGAACCATGTGCTACTCTTCTCAACCTCCTCCTCCTCCCAAAGTGTCAGTGTCACTCCTGAGCCTAGAAAATATCAAGACACAGCACCCACAGATGCACACAACCCTGGACTCTGGCAACCTTCCCACTTGCCTGTTTTCACTCCCTGTACATGTACCTGGCCATGAAGAGAGCTGGGTACCACACTGCAGCTGACGTGACTGGAAACCACGTTTCAGAAATTTGGCCACACCAAACATTAATTTTGCTCCTCTATTTGTTGCTGGTAAATTAGGACCCCAAGGAAGCAGTCTGGAATCAGGCAAACCCAGTAAGGATTTTACCTGCCTATGGTGAGGCTTGGATGCCCATTCATTAGTGGAACTGATATACATGTAAAGAAACAGCAGCAAAAGATTTTGTTATGAATTTACCTGTTTTTGCCAGCTCATTTGGAATATCCTTAAGAAGACAAGGTCATAGAGGATTCTATAATTTTAATATATATATGTATATATATATATATTCCATATTCATATCAAACCCTGACTTGAAAAATAACTGCTGGAGTGTGTGGGTCAAATTTTTCTCTTGTTATGACTGAAGTCATTGAGAATCCTCCCACCAAATTCAAGTGCCACTGCATGAAGCCTGCAGCCAACAGTTAAGTGTCCCTTTTATCACACCTGTATGAAGCCCTTCTTCTGAGTTTTTGCCCACCACGTGATGATTTATTATCGCAGAGCTGCTCATGTATGCTGAATGGTCAACTTATCTTTTGAGGAAACAGCACTGAAATATTTACTACCCACTTGTGCTTTTCCACATGCACACACGTACTCTCCTCCTGTCACATATGTACAGGTAATATCTTTGTTAAATCAGACAGCTTGAGCCTGACATCTGCAAATCAGGACAGTCTGATTTGGAGTGCTGCTAATGGGCTGGTTGTCACCCACTAGAGCAGGAGCAGGTGTGATGTGCAAATGCTTCACACACAGTCTCCTCAGCTCTGCTTCTTTAGTCTTTGACCCATGCAAAGTTCACACACATGTGCAGAAGAAAGAATATTCAAATTCAGGTTATCCCAACTCTAACATTGTCATTTTAAGGGAAACAGCCTCTCATACCTTATGACATTAATCTTTGTAATCTCATCATGCTGCTGGTAGTCCAGCACGGAACTGGAATATGTTACCATGATGCTCTCCTTTAATCAAGTCACAAGGAGGAAACCCTCTGCAACAGATCTGAACCCAGTAAATCACACTGCTTACTGCTTGGCCACCAAGCACACTAGGAAGCACCAGGTATTTGCATGGTTTTGTGTACACAGGAAAAAGCTGTACACTCCAGTTGCAGCCACCAAGCTGCAAAAGGCAAAGCCAAGCTGCAGCTGCTTGGTGTACACGTGATGTGCACAGGCTTTCAACAGGTGATGAGAATAATCTCATGCACGGGATCTGTCTGCTGCTAACACATGCAAACTTCTGATGGGCAGAGGCATCACAGCCTTTCTGACAGCTCCTGAGCGTGTGTGCAAGCAACTCAGGTTAGGTGCACTGGCAGCTAAGCACAAACAACTGCTGGCATGCTCCTCTGAAGCTGACAATCAGCCTGTCACATATTCCAATCATCCGTAAACCCAGGGGACCGGCCAAGAAGACGATTTAGGCTGCTTCCATATTTCTCAGATTATTCTTTAGCATGCAGAGGAAAATTAAGTCAGGTTTTCCTCAACAACTGCTGCACGCCACAACCCTCTGGGGTGAGCGCGGTGGCACTGACCTTGGACGTCGCTGCAGTGGCATTACTTTCCTTACCGCTCCCCGGCGCGCTTTCCTCCACTGCTGCCGCTTCCGGGGCTTCTGCCTTCTTTGCACTTGTTTCCAGAGAAACGGGAGCCCCTACTTTCCCCAGCCCGCTCCCGGGGGTTGAGCTCGGGCTGCTTGCTTGCCGCGGCTGAGCCTTATACCAGCTAGGGTAAAACAAGGGGTCGACGGTTTCTGCCGCGGGTGGCACTGGACTGTCAGACTCTGCAGTCTGTTGAGAGCCACTTGGTGTCACAACCTCATCCTTAATCAGGACAGATAAAGAGAAGAAGAAGAAGCAGAGTGCACCGCGTTACCTTCCTGCCGTAGCCAACATTTCTCTGCATGCCGTGTTTGTTATATCTCACTGCAAGGAATGTATTTGCCCTAATATGAGGTCCAAAAGAATCACAGTCAAAATGCACAGCAAAAGCAACTAACATTTGAATAACACAAAGAATATAAGTTACCAGAAGAATAAAACAGGAGGGCAGGATTAGCAGGGAAGGGGACCCTGACTGAAAAAGGAGTGGGCAAGCTGTTCCTTAGTCCATATTGTTGTATTTTTGGGGCCCATTTTAAAACCATTTCTAAGTCAGAAATAACTCTCTGGAAGTCATCTGAGGCACACGGTGTTAATAATGGGCATTGGAGGAGAAGGAGGCCCCGTGTTTCAAATATACTGTCCAGTGAAACTCCAGTAAAGGGATAGAGCTGCCTGCCAAATTACAGGTGTTTGATTAGTTACTGTATTTCATTCCATACACAGATAAAGACACAACCAGATCCCAAAACTATAAGAAATCCTGCATAAGAGCCTCATGAACTGTCACCAGCCATGAAGAACAGGTAAGATACCTTTGAATGGTGTTTTGGGTTGAGAGCAATGCATTTGCCAACAAAACTGTTGACATGAACAGTCAGATAAGGAGAATACAAAGACAGTGGACAGAAACGTTTGCCCACCAGCCTTGCTATCAATACACTGACCAATTTCAGTCACATTTTGCTGGGAAGAGGAGCAGTCGGATGAACTGCACCTCTCTACTTGCACCAAGCTCTCGGGCTCACTTGCATGATACCTGCTATCACAGCTGCATTTCTGCTTTGCCTTTCTCACACCAGAAGGCAAAAGCTGAGATACAGGTATCCCACACACTGCAACGCACATGCCACGGCGTAATGCACATCTGACCAAGTCATGATGGCATTTCACAATTGCTGCAGCAGCATGCCATACATTTTCCATTTTAGCCTTAGAAGTGAGGGACTTGACATTAGAGGTCAGGCTTTCTTAAGTCTAACTCTTGTTTGATTGTAAAAGTACATCTGTTATGCTACAGAAGTTTAGTTGAATCAGTGCAAATCTTCAGAAGACAAACTTTGGTTAAATTGAGAAAACCTGACTTAAGAGCATCTTCACACAACTGGTGCAAACCCATGTATGCTCTTAAATCAAAGCAAGACTCAATCTATAGTATTTATTTTCCTTCATTTTATGTGGAAAGCTTGCAGTAGTCAACAATTCACCAATTCCTCTCTTGTTTTTACACTGACCTCTCCAAAAATCATCAGAGCTGTCTCTAGCTACTCAGCAACTTCACTGGGCAAATTGCATAAGAGCAGAATCTGCTAAATTAGTTGTATCTATGGGCAGCTAAAGTAGCATATGAAGTATATTTTTTTATATAGTCTTTGAGAATATGCAGCAATTATAGCCTCATTCTAATCGCGTTCCTTAAGAAAAAATGCTGGCCTAAATTATTCACACTCTGAATCTGCTTGCTGCCAGGTTGTAACGTTGATAGGCTAAAAGCAGTTCCTTTTTCTGCTTGGCGTGTGATATCCCTTCATCCACTTAGACGATAGCCCTAGGATGACCAGAGCAGAAGAAGGTAAGTGCCATTCCCAGTAAACAAGATTAGAGGTATGATCTAAAAACTGCTGGTGGAAAGCTCACTGAATCCACTGGGAATGCCAAATTCTCTTAGTATAAATATTTTAGCAACCATTTCATTTATAACAGTTAGTCTGAGTTAAAACACAGGACACAGCAAGCAGAACATCCATTATTATATGCTTAACTCCCAAATTGAATCTCTTTTATTTATATCTTATGTATCCCATATATATTCTGGTTCATAAAGCAAGGCAATTCTTTGCCCATCAAGCAATCTTTACGCAGGACCGGGTACAGTCATGTGCATCTGTGAAAGGGCAAGAAGCAGCTTTGCTCTCCAGTGCCTGGACTCTCTTAGCCTTGCTCCTGAGACACGGTGCCCACGGGCTGCAGGTGAGGGTTTTCTGGCTCTGCCAGACAGCTCAGCAGAGCTGGCAGGGCAGCGGGGCAGCAGGGGCAGTTACCTGGCCAGCTGGGGGGGCAGGCTGTGGTGCTGGGGCAGGTTCGGCTGGGGGCTCGACTGCTGCACTCTGTGGTTCAGGATCCTGCTGAGGTGGCTGTGATGCTCTCTCAGCCCCTTCCTCCTCCTCCTTCTCTTCTTCCTCCTCTTCCTCTCCTGATGACTCTGTGTGGACTTCATCCAAATCTTCCCCATCCACTGTCTCCTCCTCTTCCTCTTCCACCTCCTCCTCTAAGGGGACAAGTATAAAAGGAGCACCAGGTGAAGATTACTACAGTCTTTGTGTAATGGAAAGGCCATTTACAGCACAGCAAAGCTACTGATGATCCACCTCCCTGGCAGACGTGAGGAGCCTGCACGGGGCACAAGCAGGAGTATCAAAACAGGGAGGACACCAAACGCGCATGCTTTAAAGTCTTAAGCTAGCCCTTCCCATGGGAGGGAGGGCAGAAAGGCCTGTTCTCCTCAGTTATCCTCATGAGGGATTTGCAGTACGGACCTGCTTTCTTTCATGAGAGGATAACTGGTCTGGCACAATCTACCAGGCAAAAAGTATCTCTTGCAATTTTATTTGTTTTAAACACCACATAGGCCATACGGAATTTTACCAGGTCAGTGTTTTACCAGTTTACCAGTCCCTAAAACCAGACTGTCAGACTTGATCAAACCATAGGCTGTACATCCTACAACACATCCTGTTGTCAGTATTCGTGGTTGCTCCCTCATTTCCAGAAGGAACTCTCTAACAATGTGTTTTGTTTTGCATAATCACGGTATTCATCCAGACAAACATCGGATACTGTTCAGAGCCATCCTGGTAGTTCAGAGAAATAAACCTAGATGGATGCATTAACCTACAAATTGACTGCACTTTTTGCACAGGCTGTGGTTCTGCCTGAGACTGTAGAAGGAATGCAGATCTACAAATCAAATAACACTCTTGTAATGGAGAAATATGCCTGCAGGCAAACATTCTCCTACAAGCAGAGTGTTAAATCTCTGCTTCCACACCCCCTGCATGCAGAGGACCTCACTGACTGTAGCAGGACTGAAGTCCTGATTGCCAAGGCTTTACTAATGCCTTGTCCCCAGGAGGTGGGTGTCACATTCCCAGTCTCGTGGTAGGGTGCACGAGGTCATGGTCTTGGCAAGTGCACGCAGGTGGCAAGTGCACACAGCTGTGGCTGATCACAGGGACAAACCGGGCATGAGGCTGCGAGCAGGGACTGCCCCTCACAGCACAAATCCCTGCAAGTTCACGGCCCTGTGAGACAGCATCTGATCCTCTGCTGCTGGCTGGTGCCATGGCTGGTGTCCCGCTATATGGACCCAAGTCCCAAGCAGAGTTAGTCCACGGGTCCCATCTTACAGACCAAGACCTGCAGCAGGCATGTAGGGTCTCTTGTAGGGACCAGCCACATGCTCTGAAGTTAGTGTGAGTTGTGGTGTGAGAGTAAGTGATAGGTGCCAGCAGAATGAGTCTCAGGCGTATGCATAAGACATAACTGGGCTGACAGAGGTAAATGTGGATGTATTAGCAGAACCCTGAGCCAGCAAGAAAATCGGAGATATCCAGATGACCATTAGTAGAAGAGATGAGAACTCTCCTCTTTTAATAGGAGAGGCCTGCTTATTTGAAACACTCATGTCCATTAATTTCTTGTGGCTTACCCTGTAAGGTGAAGCATAGATGAGCCTGGGTTTCAGGCTGCCTTGTCAAATGTAGGATCGCAACTTTGCTTAAGCACATAGACGTATTAAGCGTGTCATGATGTCGCAAAAAGTGACATCACAAAATGTTAAATATATGAAAGATGATGACAATTTTTGCTTACTTCTATAACTCTGTGATTTTGAATTTTGATCACATTTTTGTTACATTTCTCTGTTAGTACAAAATAAAAGTGTATGTCTTTTCTAAGGAAAGGAGTATTTTTAGTAGTAAATTTTCTATTTCTTTAATGACTTTCTATAGCAGGCAGGCCATACAATAATAGCATCTCTTAGGGGGGGAAAAGTACTTTATAGACTGAAATAAAAGCTTACTGTTGTGGTCCCTTCACATGAGGAAGCAATAAAGATCATGCTCTTAGGAAAATCTTGAGGCAACATAATAGGTAAGATTAAGGATGTTGACAGGTTATGCGATTTTTAACTGATGATATTTGGTTTTGATTATAATTGAAACAAAATGGTCTAATTAACCTTGGGATGGACAGAAATATCTGACTCAAGTTTTCCTGCTCTGTATCATCATGTAAATTACACACAATTGCTATGTAAGAAAGCAATTTAGGTGAAATAATTGACTTACCTCTGTCAAAATCAATTTCTCTTATTATCTTTTCTTCTCTACTGAGGTTCACAGTGAACTGGTTCATATTTTCATACCCATCCTCTATTTTTTCCATTTGAAATCCTTTAGATGCTTCAGTAATTCTAAAACAGAGAGATTGGTTGTTTGCATTTGCAGATAAATTTCCAATTTGTAATTCATTATAAAGATCAAATGTCATAAGTTTAAATACTTACTTTTGTAGCAATGTTTTGGCATTCTGTGAAAACAAAAAGGAAATAATGGACTTCTTAAATGGTTCCATTTTCTGAGAGACTTTATGCATTGAGATTTAGTTCTTACACTGGCTGCTTCTAAGTGCACTACTATGGATCTCATAAATGATAACCACATCTACAACTGAGATCAGATTTGAATAGTGATTAATATACAGCTGAGTAATCCTCTTAGTTCACTGAAAATTTTTTAAATTAAAATCTGAGTATGACAGCAAATACCAACAATTTCTACAAAAATGAAACAGAGATATTTATACTCCTTTTCTTTTTGTACGTGTTTTTGGTGAAAAGCAATTGTTCTGTTACCACCTCTAGTCACAAAAACTATATCCATGACTGTCCATGACAACATACTTCTGGAGTCACAAAATTTTATTTGTCTGGAAAGAACTCTTCAACAGCAATTCTTTGATGACTTTTTTGTTTTGTTTTTGTTTTTGCTTTCTGTTTAAGAAAGATCTTTTCAACCTGTAATACAGAGAAACTGTAACATTGCAGGACAGAAATTCTACACCAGTAAGTTTAGTGAACAGGCTGCTAACGGTTTCTAATCAGCTATTCTAAGTTTATAGTATGAAAACAAAAAAAAGTTTTGAGGTAAAGACATAAAAATGTGACTTAGAACATCCATATCTAATCCTGGAAAGTTAATCACCCTGTCAATATGCAAACGGAAATGCTGTAAATCACAGAAGTATACATATATGTATGTTTTAGTGGTGGGACAATAAGAATATGTAGGAAAATAATAAAATTTATGCTTTCTCTTGGGGGAACTCAAAATCGTTCTTGGTTTTAATATTATTCACAAGACGCCTAGTTATTTGCCTGTGTTGATGCAAGTTTTCAAAGAATGAGTTTGTCTGAATTCTGAATGCTCCTAAAATAGAAAAATGCTTAAATTGTATTTCAGCAAACCCACTGCTCTACTTCTGCTTCTACTTATAGACTTTGTACCTGCAAAAACACAGCCATTTCTGGTTCTTCCATGAACTGGATTCCTGATTCCACTAGCTTTGACACGGCTTCCAAATGATCCGCATACTTCTTCATCAAGGAGCGGACATGTTCCAGTTTCTCCTCTTGGGTTCTAGTGATTATTTGTGTCATCTCATTTTTTCTTTCTTCCAGTACAGAATAGAGATAATCAAATTTTTCACACAGCTGTTCTTTCTGTCGTCTGCAGCATTCCTGTGAATCATTTGGTTTATGTTAAACATGTTATGTTCTTAAAAGAGTTTCTATTTTTACAGTTACTTGGAAGCATTTTCATCAAAGAAATTCCTCTTTCTGAGCAGTGCAAAGGATTCTGAATGACCCCAGAGACTTTTATAATTTTCAAAGTTCAAGCTATTGGAACAAAAGTTTTAAAACTGTTCTCAAACTCTGGATTTCAAACCACTGAAAGCCCCCAAACAGGTTATTGTATAACTTGTCAGCCTTCTAAAAAAACTGTAAAAGGTATTTATGATGTCTGTAGTGATACTTCAAAGTCTGCAGAAAAAGTAAAAAACATCACCATAGTAGCAGCTGGGTTCATTTGCACGAACAGAACGTTTTTGAAAGGAGAGATCATCTCAAAGCAGTTCTGGAGAATTTTCTTTTTCTACCTGGAACTTTCTTGCTTAGGCTTGATTTTTACATAAGCCCTTTTAGACTCTGTTTTGACAGCAGGTGTCCATTATATTCCATTTACTGTGCACTGAATGAGGTAGAGGTACCACGGAGAAAATGGTGTGCGACAAAAGCACAAAGACAAGGAGGAGGAGCCAGGTCCCAACCCTACCTTCAAGCATTGATTTTCACATCATTTTCCAAGTCACTTTTACTGTCCTTCTACCCAGACAACACAGCGTATTTCACCAAGTAAGGAAGGTGGGTTTGATGACTGCTTCATTGTACACTCTCTAAGAAGAACACACTGCACTTGCAAGGGAGGATTTACGGGGAGGAAAGTGGAGACAGGTTATCAGTAATGTCTGAGGCCTACCAAGAAGAAGCACTTGACTCATCTCAGTGCCCTGGGGCATGTAGATGGGCATATCCTTATTGTGGTTATATCTGGTTGTGGATGGGGGTGGTTGTTTTAATCTCTTTCTTGGGAACTTAGGCTGAATCAATTCCTCTTCTTCATCCCTTGAGGCATAAAGCTGAGGTCCTGGCAGCACAGGGTTATTAACAACCCGACAGTACTTTTGGAACTCGTATTATTCACAGTATTTGACCACTTTTTTTCTTGAGTTTCAGCCAGAGCTCTTTCCTAAGAGCTGGAGACAATCTGCTCTGTATTGTTCAAAGGAGAAGGCCTTTCAAAGATGGATATACGGCCAAACATCACAGCCTCGGTTGCACATACAGATCTTGTATTGGCTCAAGTATCCACCTCTGCTTCCCAATGAGGAAGAGTAGGTTAAACAGGAACTCCTAATTTAAAACTCATGGTGGGTTCAGGCATGACCTGTCCTCCTGGCGGTCCTTGGCATTTTCCAGAAATTCCTCTCATGAGTGAATTATAGGGTGGGGATAAGGAATTTTTGAACCACGTGAGACACAATTTCTGGGTGTCATTCTATTGTTCAGACCTCAGATAACCTTCCTCTCCTCTTTCACTCCTTTCCTCACTTTATCCCTCTGTATCCTGCACTTTCTCTTGCTGCACACTCCATTTTAGTCTACAATGACCTCCTCTGAAATGTCACTCAGATCACTTTTTAAACAGCCTAAATTTCAGGACAGGTGTGTGCTATTTGCAACATTTGATATAGGACAAGTATTAGGGGAAGAAGAGACACAGAGTGATATCAGGGTGCCCTGAGAAGTCCTTCCCAATCTCTAACCTCTAATACATAATATCTCCTGCCAGCAGATATTACAGAGTTGTGAACTTCAAGTGGGAGAGTACAAAGCTGGTTCCTAACTGCAAATGCTGAAATATTTCTGAGTACTATCTTTTCTGTATAAAATGTACCCTTACTAAGCCTCTGTGTGATAGAATTATCCTAATCAGATTCTGAGTAATAAAAAAGGTTAATAAATACATGACTTTCCGTTCTAAAAAAAAATCTTAGCTTTTTTTTTTTTTTTAAGCACAACTACAAGAGAAAGAAAGAACATGAGTTTCACTGCTTGTTCTGAAGTATCTGTGTTGCCTGTCTATGCTATTAGCATTTGAAAAAGACACTGTATTTTTTCCTTCATTATCTGATTCTTGTTTTTACAGAACTAAACTTTTTCAATATTTACTATTTTATGTTCTGTTTTATCTTGTTTGTTTTCAGCATAATATGTGCACTTGGTAAAGCTTTCAAACAGCTAAAATGCTATATTAGTATTAATCAGGTGTTTTTGTTTGTTTGTTTCTTCTCTTTTTTTAGTCTTGGATAGGAGCAATAGCTAAATATAGAACTGTAGGCTATTGCATACTTCAGCTAAAAGAAAAATGATCATGTATTTTCTGCTGGAGCAGACACTTATTGTTCTCCTCAAAGCATTAAGTAAAGAGAGAAGAGACAATCCTGGATTATGAGCATTACTTCCACGTGTGCACATTTCTCAGCTCCAGATGTAGCTTTTCATCTTCAAGGACAAACTGATGTCAATTCAGACAAAGCTGTTGTATGGTAGGAAATGTGATTTGCTTGAAACGTAACATGGAAGTGCCAAGGTAAGCTCTAAGATCTATTTTCTGCAATCTCTGACTTTAAAGGTGAAAAGCCTGTTAAAACATCTGAAGGTAAAATGGCTGTACTTTCTCTGGGCTTCGAGTTTAAAGGTTAGGCTTTAAACTGAGTGGATGACTCTGAGGAAGCTAGTTTCAGAAGCTGTTGTATTTTTTAAGTATTTTTAGCACAGTGTTTTCTCCATACTTCAGATGATGTTTGAAGTTTTGTTTCTATATCAGCTAGTTCAACTTAAATGAGCATAAGCTCTTACTTTTGTATCATTTAAATTTCTGCAGTTAACCTACTTGAAAGGCTTGTTTCTGTCTGCAAAGTCCTGATAGCAGCCTTGCAATATGAAGGCTTCCTGACTACAAAGTTCTGACTCTGCTGCTAACACTCTCTCATTTATTTGGGCTAATGGTTTTATGTTCTTTGAACCAAACTCGGACATTTTCTGCTCTTTCTTGCTCTGAGGAAATAGGAACCTTCATTAATTGTGTACGTAGATAGTGGAATCAATTTTTGCTCCCATTTAGAATCTATACATCTTGGATTATCTTCTTTTTCACTGCAGTTTCCCTTTTCTGCTCCAGCTCTGAAGGGTCAATAGAATTCTAATTGGGCTGAGAGGGATGCGACTTCTTCACTAGATGCTTCATCAAACTCTGATCATAAAATCAATTCATATGAGCTGCTTTCAGCCTATTACTCTGTGATGCTCAAATTGGTCAGAGCTGAAATTTATATTTGCTTTGTTGGTGCAAACCTCTTGGAGGAAATGAAAGCCACTTCTGCTATTGAATGACACAAAACCAATTCCAGCTTTGTCAGAGAAAGACCTTTACCTGAAAATCCAAACTCACAGTAAGAACCCAAACTTGACCCACACATGAGCAACACAACAGGATTCCTTAAAGGACAGCATGAGTATATTAAAAAAATACTGGACAGGAGGCAAAGTAAACAATTAAAGAGTTAATTGACATACTTGGGAGCTAAGCTGAGGCTACCCTGTGTCTGAGACTGAGGTTCTCCTCAGAATCAGTCAAGACTAATACTGGTCTTCTACAGCTCTAGCACTTGAGCTGAGATGTTAAATGAACTAAGAGCTGATGGCATTTCTGCTTTTATCTTCAGTTACAACCTATGCAACTAAGAACGCTGAACAAGACATGTTGACATGGATTATTTTACTCTTTGTCATCAGTCAAAGTGGTCAGTACTCAGTGGTCAGTGCCAGAGGCAGGGTGCTGAGAAGGATATATCCTTTGGATGAGGTACTACAGCTAGTCCTACAAAAACACACAGATTTGGCAGAACGATGTGGGAATCCATTTGGGTAAGGTGAGATGTAGTGTAGAATGATCATTACCACCAAAAGTTTAAAAGATGCAACTCCACTCTGACATAACTGCACATGAAAGCATGCTACTTACCTCAACCGTCTTGCAGGTCTCCTCCAGCTGTGTGACTATCCCTTGCACTCTGTCATTGCTCCCCACTAGGACTGCGATGCCGTCACTCAGCTCGGACTGGTCAGGAAAGGGAGAGGACGTGAAAGGGTGTTAGACACTTGGGGGGCACTGGCAGCCAGCCACCCACCGTCCCACCTCAGAGTGGCCCATCTAACAGTGGGGAGCAGGGGGATGAATAAGCCATACCAGGGTATTAGCTGCTCTTTTCACCAGAACCATGGAAGATTGAAGCATTACCTGCTCACAAGTTGCCTGCTAGTATTTTGACATTTGTTTCCTCTCCCAAAACACTAAAAAGGGGGAGAAAAGGGTGGAGACAGAGTCATTGGCACACGGGAAACAGGTGAACACTCTCTCAGGGACCAGACCAGTGGGAACATGGAGGGCCCTTCTGTGTGATAGAAGGGAAAAAACATACAAGGAGGAAGGAGCTGGAGATGTTGAGGCAGGGACCTCTACATGGAGGAAAAATGAAACACCCTGACATGAATGGGAGATGTCCTTAGAAGAGGAAAGTCAGAGAAGATACTCCACAGGGAACTTGGTGAGGGTGCAGAGGAGGGCAAGGAGCCCTTAGCATACTGATGGAGTCATCTGTCCACAGAGACATCCATGTCTGTGGCCTCTACAGCTTTGTAGAGGATCCTTTGAAGCATGCATCCCACAGGCTATGGGTTAGACATCCATTCTTGGGCATGAAAGCCCCTTTCCACAGGCACGCTGGGGAGGAAACCACTGCTTGCAAGTCTACATGAAAAGGGAGTGATTGAGGGCATGGATTTAGTCCAAGAAACTTCTCCCCATTCTCTCTCCTTTTTTGATCAAAAAGGATGCTTGTAACTACTTTTCTAAACTGACTTCTCATTTGTAGTTTTCACACACAAGCATCTGTGTGACAAAGTTGGAGGCTGGGATTGCAAACTTGTCCTGTCTGATTGCTAGGCCCACCGGGGCCCTCCAGAAAAATGAGCTGTTTATCTCATGAGGATAACCCAGTGAGTCAGGTTTTAAATTAATACTGTATTAAAAATAAACAAGTCTTTTACTGGTGACAGCAAGGGCAGAGGATGTTAGGTACATCCTGTGCTGCCAACTATTGAATATTCCTGCATTTACTTGCAGGAGGTTTTTCACTTAAAATTTCTTAAAAATGGGATGCTTAAAGGCAAAAGTGCCTGATAGATAACTTTTTGATTTGTAACGGCCTGTTCTCTTTTTATCATGTTCTGTTCTGTAAATCCTGCTTATTTTTGTGATCTAAAAGCACTGAAAAAATAGATTAAGAACCTCAAAAGGGAGATCCTCACCTTCACATCTAATCTTGGTCTAAAGTGTTTACTTATTATCCTAACAAAAACTGAGACACTGTAATATCTTTCTGTGTGATTTCTCATAAATTTATATCTCTGTGTTCCAAAACAGTTTCAACAGATTTGTGTGAGCCCTTCATTCCCATACAGAAATGGAGAATGTACTCCAAGACCCCTTTGGAAACTCACAGGAAGCTCATGGGAATACTTTCCCGTTAATGGTCCTTCCAGTTGCTGGGAGGACTATGAGATACAAAAAAATATTTACCTTCTGTCTCTGGTAAACGTTTGTGAGAGGAGCAACCTGACAGTCTTTGTGGGCACCAAAGACTTTGCACAAGGAGCAGGTGGGCATTTCACAGTTCAAACAGTAGATATTAATTCTCTCATCTTCATGCTCTTCACACATTGGCTGGTCACATTTTCTTTCAGGCCTGCAAAAGAAAATAAGTTTAAAATAATCTTGGTCTCATAAATTTCTGATGGCCGTACTCAGAGTATCAACATGAAACGGTACAATCATATTGCAGTGTCCGAGGTTGAGCTGAATACTCACTGTAGATTTAAACCTGTCACACAGGCTGACTAAATAGACAGAAGTACCATTTAATATTCTGACATGAAAGGATGTGATGAGAATATAGAAACATGATTTCATTCTGTGATTCCAACTGGGAGTGTGACTGAACCCTCACTCATGTTTAAAAATGTAAATAACCTCACCAAGATTGGTCTGAGACTACCTGTGTACTGTAATTAGCATGTTGTCCATCATCGGCCTGAAATAGGAGACATATGCAATTCCTTTAGGGTTCATCATGCAAAATGTTGGGTGATTGGCCTTGATGCAGCAAAGCTTCTATGTAAATTTGAAGTACGAGTTGTAGGTATCAATGGGCCTTCATGCCTCTAACTCTGTGATCTCTGCTGATGTGCCAAGGTCCAGGTCAGGGCTGTTGATATCAAACTGGACCAAGTCCTTGTGGCCTTTACACCATGCCAGCAAACAAAATAAGGTCTCACACAAACTAATTTTAGCTGGGTGGCACATGTCTAACTGGTTGGACTTGGTGACCCTGAAGGTCTTTTCCAACCCAGATGATTCTGTGACTCTATAGCTTGTACAGTGTCAAGCTTTTAAAGAGCAGCTCATTTGATTTTACCAGCTGCCAAGGCTATGGCTACACAAGAAGTGTGTAACCTCACCTGTGCTAAGCCAGGATCTATCATTAGCCTCACTAGCCCAGTCCTGATCTCTTTTCACCAAAATGATTCACACATTAGTCAACCCCTGCCATTTGAGGAACCAATTTAGTTGTAAATTCCTTTAATGAGCCATCTAACTGACATGCCCAGTGTAGGTGAAAGCTCTGGTCCTGTCTGTATGGGCAGAATGATCATTTTCTGAGCCTGTGCTCCACGCTTAGCACCCTAAGAGCATCTGTGACAAGCACATGTGACATGTGACATGTGAGCGTGTGACATGGCACTAGAGCATAGGGTTAGTGGAGTGTGCCTGGGGGTTTCAGCCTCCAAAGGCTGCCACTCCTACTGTGGTGTGTGAAATCTTTCCAGTATAATTCATTATACCCTTATGCTACCTTCTGGAGGGAGAACTATGACTTACGTGTAGCAAGTGAAACAACAACAACATAGAAATATGTTGTCGTCATTGGATATAAAATATTTCCCCAAACTATAGAATTTAATGGCATTAAATGGAAACTTTTTTTTTTTTTTAAACCATTCTATAGAGCTCCATAGCAAGGAGGCAATGAGTCATTCATTCTATCACAATTGTAAAGCATTCTGTAAAGATCATTATTCTATATTGTACTACAGTAGAACTTTCCATACAGTTTGGCAGAGTGGAAATTTTTTAATGACAAAGTACGGGTTTTCTCTTCTGACCTTAAAAAAGAGGAATGGAATGTGATCAATTAAATGCATGTAAAAAAGATTGAGCAACAAAGAAAATGTTTCATGCCTTTGTTTTTTATTTTTCCCAAATTCAAGAAGGCACTGGAATTAAAAGTGTTTATAAGGAAAACCTGTGATCTTCAATATAGCATGCTTTACAAAAATAAAACCAGAACATTTCTGGAGGAAGCCTGTATTATTTGGGTCAGATCTCCAGCATACATTTACACAAGGCCCTCGATGTGTCAAACTGAGCACCATTTCAAGGCCAGCCAAAAGAGGTGTGTTCCCACTGTGAAGGATGCTTTACGTTGTTTGCAGCTGACTGCTAACAGCCCCTGCTATGTTATGGTGCGCCAGTGGGTGGGCCCACCTGCCGGGGTAATAACAGACAATGAATATCAAAGTGATTAATTAAGCCTGAAATAGCTGCTCTTCCTGAAAATATTTACAAGACCAGAAACTACGAGAATGTTATTTGACACTGGAGCTGCGCCACTACCATGAAAGACACACAGCACAGGGCAAAAAGGCGATGGTGTCGAGCAAGTTCAGCCAGAAGTAGCCAACCTTCAAAGGTGCCGCAAGGAGCTGGAGGAAACCTGGCAGAACTCCCTGAACTAGCAGGGCCCTGAAGACAGTGACAGAAGACCAGAAGTAAACAGATTTACGGTCTCCTTCCTAGGCTTTGCTAAAGGAGAGATATTTTGCAGAACATTCCCTGACTTCAGAGGAGATCCTCTGGGTTTACACTGGTGTAGCAAAGGCTGAAACACAGCTCCTACATGTAAAACAGTGGCTGCTCCTAAGTGGAAGATTAGAGAGTAGCCAGCAGGACAACAACAACATGGCTTTACTAGGAGAAAAGATTCATCAGAGATGTGGTTGTGACCAAAGGATGAACAGGCAGCTGAAATACCCTAATAGTGATTCTGTGATTCTTTGTCTCTGCTCTTTGAGATACTCAGCCTGCACTTGATTACTACAGGCTTATTATTTTGCATTAAAATTAGATATGGACCTTAATGTGTAGAGTGTTGTGCATGCTTTATGGAGAGGAGGCCTCCTGGCACTGGTGAGGCCACATCTGGAGTGCTGTGCCAAGCACTGGGATCCCTGGTACAAGAGAGTCCAACAAAGGGTCATGAAGACAACCAAGGGACTGCAGCATCTCTCCTGTGAAGAAAGGCTGAGAGAGAGAACAAGGCATAGAGAATGGAGCCAGGCTCTGCTGAGTGGTGACCAGGGACAGGACAAGAGGCAGTGGGCACAAACCAGAACAGAGGAAATTCCACAGAAAACCCTTTTTTACTGTGGGGGTAATCAAATACAGGGAAAGGTTTCTTAGAGAGGTTGTGGTGTCTCTGTCCTTGGAGACCTTCAAAAGTCGTCTGGACATGGTCCTGGGCAACTTGCTCAGGGTGGCCCTGCTTGAGCAGGGCTTTGGACCAGATGGCCTCCAGAGGTCCCTTCCAGCCTCAATCATTCCACGATTCTGTAATTCAGTGAAGAATTTCAAAGCTGCTGGGTTCATGAAGGAACACATTTTATTTAAGGAAATAGGAGGACCTTAGCAAAATTGATATTAATATATTGATATGTAGAAGTGGATTTATGTAGTTTTATATCAAATGAAGTTTAGGACCTCATATTCCCATTGTTCTCTCACAAAAGAGTAAACTCGTCTAAGCTTGACATGGAACTGCCTACCTTGTATACACCACACTATTATGTGTATTAACATATTGTGCCAGGTCTGACCTAAATGGCACAGATTTTTAACAATTCCACTCCTGTTGCTTACATCCTCTAATATCCTTGGTTACATGGGTGACAGAGTTGCAGGAATGAGTTCTATGACACAAAACAGAGGGGTGAATTGTTTAATTAGAAGTCATGTTGTACATAATATTTATACAAATACAAAAAGATCTCCATTGAAATCCTGAATCCAACTTTGATAGTGGTTTTACTGAGGAAACCTTTACCTATTATTTGACCACCCTCGCAGTAAAAAAGGGTTTTCAGTGTTTTCTGTGGAATTTCCTGTGTTCCAGTTTGTGCCCATTGCCTCTTGTCCTGTCCCTGGGCACCACATAGCAGAGCCTGGCTCCGTTCTCTTTGCACCCTCCCTTCAGGTACCCGTAGACATTGATGAGATCCTCCCTGAGCCGTCTGTTCTCCAGGCTGAACAGTCCCAGCTCTCTCAGCCTTTTCTCACAGGAGAGATGCTACAGTCCCTTAGTCATCTTCATGGCCCTTTGCTGGACTTATTCCAGTATCTCTCTTGAACTGGAAAACACTTGTCCCATCATCTGAGTCATTAATGAAGATAGTAAACTGCATTGTGCCCCAGTATCAACCTCTACCTACACCACTAATGACTGGCCACCACCTGACTTTGTGCTGCTCATCACAACCAGTTGAGTCTGGCAGTTCAGCCAGTTTTCAGTCCACCTCTCTGTCTGCCATCCCCTCTCAACATTACTTCATCAGTTTGTCAATGAGGATATTATGAGAGGCAGAGCTGACAGTCTAGTTAAACAACATGCACTGTTCTCCTTTTGTTCACCAAGTTAGTCATCTCGTTGTAAAAGGCCATCAGGTAGGTCAAGCACCATTTCCCCTTCATGCTGACTACTTCCAATCACCACCTTGTTTTTTTATGTTTGGATATGAGTTCTAGGAGAGCTTGCTCCAATACTTTTCCAGGGATTGGTATGAGGTTGACCAGCCTGTAGTTGTCACAGTGTGACATCTGCTTTCCTACAGTCCGTAGGAACCTATAACAATTACCATGACTTTTCAAAGATTATCAAGAGTGGTTTTGCAATGACATTGGCCAGCTTGCACACCACTCATGTGTGCATCCCATCAGGATGTCAAATGTAAAAAAATATTTCCCAACCTCATCCTCCCCCACTGAAGGTAAGTCTTTGCTGTAGACTCCCCCACTGGTCTCAGGGACCTGGGATTCCTGAAGGCCAATCTTACCATTAAGGACAGAGATGGAGAAGGCATTGAGTACCTTGGCCTCTCCTGTGTGCCATTTAGCAGTGGACCCACATTTTCCCCAGGCTTCCTCTTGCTGCTGATGTACTTGAAGAAGCTCTTCTTACCCATCACATCTCTCACTACATTAAGCCCCAGGTGGGTTTTGGCTTTCCTAACTCCATCTCTACAAGCTTGGAAAATATCTCAAAATATTCCTGGGTCATTCATTTGTCTTTATTTATTCTATTTTTTATTTTTTCAGTTTTATCAGGAGCTCTTTGTTAATCCATGCAGGTCTCCTGCCACCATTGCTTGAGTGCTTGCACATGGCAATGGACCACTGGAGGCTGGATGAAGATTGAAGGAGACTGTCCTTGAAAATCAACCACAGTGATGGACTCCCCCAAAAGAAGTAAACAGTCCATCAATACTCAAGGCAGAAGTGGGGCTTGAAAAATGAGAAGACCAAAAAAAAAAGGACTTTGGGATTCCTGCAGTTTCATATATACATACCACCATTGTGAATGCCTGACCCAAGACAACCTTTGGCACAGGTAAGGCCCATGGGGCCTTGGAGAAGGAGACTTCCTTCTCCATGGGGACTTGGAGAATATCCAGGTGATCTCTCTCCTCATTTCTCGTGCTGTGCAGTCTGTGGGGCTTCTCCTGCAGCACTGGTTTGTGACACAGACCCCTACCAGGGCCCACCACTCTGGTCTCCCTGGTCCAGCCACCTGAGAGCCCAGGCATCCCCGCAGCCCATCCTGGAGAGCCACAACCTCCCTTGGGAGCTCGGGATGCGACCACTGAGGTGTTAGGTCGTGGCGGTGCTGGGTACCCTGCCACCACGGTCGCAGAGCCCGCGCACACTGCTCTTAGCATGGAGCCTGGTCCCTGCTGCACATGCTGCTCCATCCACGAACAGGGCTGCAGGGCCAGCCCTCACCTAGTAGGTGTAAGGGAGAAGGGGCACTCGACCCTCGCTGAGCAGGATTCAGCTGGAACAAAGCCCAGAAGCACCCTTTGATCAGGAATAGCTGGCTGAGCTCGTTAGAGGCTGCCAGAGCGTGTGAGAAGTCCCAGCTTCCTGCAGCTACCCTTTCCTGGCAGCAGCAGGCCCCCTGATGCTCCTCAGAAAGTTTGGGTAATCAGTGGCCCACAGACTTTCAAACATCGGTGTAATATTTTAGTCAACTCTATTTCTACCCGGTTCGGCACTTTGCCCTCCTTTAAAGCTTTGCAGGAGCCACATCCTGCTTGAATATTTTTTTTCCTTGTGTTGCTAATAGGTTCTAAATTGGGCAACAGGCTCCACTGTCATCGGCTGGAGTTTGATGAGCAATGTGATAGAAGATAAAAAAAATGATGTGATTGTTATTAATAAGAAGGGCTGCATGTGAGGGCTTGGGCAGAGCTTCCCAACCCCATGGCAGCTTCTGCCCCAGCTTTTATTTTTGAAAGAACAATGCCTTAATTCAAATAGAAACTCAAATTAGAAAAGCATATTTCTGAAATAAATTATTTTTGTCTAAGCAGGAAACAAAGCTTGCTCCTTATCTGGATTTCCCTCACTCTCCTCAGCTCATGAAAAAAGCATCTGGGGGCTGGCATCGGCCTGGCATTCATTTACGGTGAATTAAATCCACAGGAAGACCTGGGGGGAAGAGGTTCCCCTCAGGAAGTCACAGGAGCTACTGTCTTGAAGGACTGTCTTGGGAACACTCAAGGATGCAAAGATGACATCTCACCCTTCCTATGTACCTCTGACAAACCCAGCCCTCTGTCTGAAGGAGACTGGTACAAAAGGAAGGAGGGGAGACTTGATTTTCTTTGACTTTCTTGTTTCAGCAGGACAGCACAGGGTAAGGCAGTGGCAAATCTTGCTCACACACCATAGGAGCCCGAGGAACGTTAGGCAGAGGGAGATAAGCAGCTGAAGCCTACAAAGTGCCAAATAGTTTAGATAATGCTGTTATGCACTGCCGCTGCTACGTAACCCTGATAATTATTTTAAATCTAAGGACATGCATGAAGGTTAAATAAACACCTGAACAGATTAAACAAATGAACATTTTGGATAGATAGCTAAGCAAATATATGTTCATATTTATATTATTTCTATTCTCCCTTTTATTCTCCATGTCGCATTGTACTTTACTAGAATTAAAAAAAATATATATACTAAATCTCTTATGTTTCTGTTTAACTGAATTTTGTTCAATTTGCCCATGAACTATATGACAAAAAGCAGCTGCATTTCTATATTTTTAAAGTTAAATACAACTATGAGTAGAAAAAAATAAAGAAAAAATAAAAAAGACATGAGGCTACACATGTCCAGCTAATTTGGTTGAGAGCAAAGTCCACCACCATAGCTCTGCTGATTCATTTCCTCCGAGACTTTCCTGACTCAAATAATATTTAGATATCAATGACACACACGAGGGTAGCTGACCTTCCCTGGACTCGGAGTGCTAAGGGCAGCAGAAAGGACAATTTTAAGCCAACTTCGTGCTCTCCAGTGTTTTGGAGCTCGAAGCTATGCCCAGATACGACAGTCCCTGAAGGAATTCAAACAGCCAAGAATAGCCAAAGCCACTGCTGGGCTCCAAAATGTCCTGTCTGCTGGTAACTGACCTCCTCTGCTGGAGGAGGGTAGAAGTGTCCTGAGCTGGGGTCCAGTGGTTGTGTCCACCTGCTCCCCCAGTATCGCCTCTGTTACCCGTGCAAAGCTCAGCCTCTTGTGGGAGCAGGATGGGATGACTATCAGGGAGCATGGCTAGGATTACACCTTCCTTCAGGTGTACAAAACACCTTGCCATACAAAACTGGCCCTATGGATGCACGCTGGTGACAACAGGCTGCGTCTCTGGGTCACAGCTGCTTGGTTGATGGCCTGGGACCAAGCTTAGCTTCCCTCTTACTACGTTCCCTAGGGTGGTAGCATATGTCCGACCCATCCCAGAGCAAGAGAGAGAGAAGAATGCAATATTGTTCTACTGCTGGATCTGTTACACACTCATTACAGGCAATTAACATTAGGAGCAATCTTACTTTTTAGGATTAACCCGTTCCTCTGCACTGGGATCCTGATTCTTGGACACAACCACATAGCACTCATATATACTGTTTGTTTTTTCCTTCACTTTTACAGAATCCTGAATAAGGCTTGATTTCATCCCAAGTGTTCACATTCCAAGCTGACAGGAGTGGAGATTTTTTACTGAGTTTTGATTTGATCTTATGATGCAGGGCATCCTCTCTGTGCAATTGACCTATCTCCTTGTTTGTTCTGTCTGTCCCTCAGGATTTTCTAACAAGATTTGAAATTCCTTTCCTTTCTTTAGCATGAGAACATACAGGATAAAGAGAAAGATGTTCTTTTGAACAGTTTATAAAATGATCAACATGAACCTAGCTACTTTTCCCTTATCCATATGAATACCCACTTTGACTTCAAGGTCTTTGCTTGCGCAGGCAAGTGTTGCTCATGTGAATAAGTATGGCACATTCATCTTCTCTAAGTGGTAGTGAGGAAACTCAGCATTTATTTGGATACTGTTTTCTGAGCTCAATAAGTGAGAGCTGACATCACTGTATAGCAAGCAGGCAGGCATGCACAGCAGCACAATCCCTTCTGTATTTCCAAGAGAGAAAATAACTAAATAAACCTCACTTCTGACAAATAGAAAGGCCAGAAGGACACCAGAATCACCTAAGCAGTGTCTGCTTTTGTGACAGATCTTCTATGAAGGGTACAAATTCACTGCTTACCTTGTGGACTCCTGCTTGTATATGTCGATGATGTTCTCCACCAGCAGGTTTCTCTGCAGCCCGTACACCCCGTGCCGGTCGAGGACCACTTCATGCCTGCATGAGGGGCAGCGAAACCGGCCTCCCGAAGCCACAGTCGTGCCTCCCCTGGTGGGCAGGTAGGGGTTCGAGGCCTGTTCTTGCCAAGTAGCACAAGAAAAGGTGAGTAAGGCCATGCACACCTTCACCAAAATGTGTTTGGACAACGAGACATTGTTCTTGGAGCACACGGAGACTGTTTCATGATGGACCAGAGCCCACTGAAATCAAGGCCCTGTCCCTCTCTCCCCTCTTCTTCCCTACTAGCCCAAGGAGCTCTGGGTCAAGCCATTCAATACTTAAAAAATTACTGGGAGAAGCAGCTGAAGTTGTTCAGATCAGGACCATGGTGCTGCAGTGACCTGTGCTAGAGATAGCACAGCTCTTCCAAAAGTGCCAGGCGAAAACCCCGTGTGTAACAAACTATTTGTAAGTATGCCCGAGGTGAGGGCAGCTGCACAGAGGAGCCCGGGACAACACATAAAGACTGCAATGTGTGGGGCTGGCTCCTTGGCTCTTGAGTGCTGCCACCTCCCTGCAGCTCACAGGGAGCAATTCAGGCTGGTGCAAGCTCAGCCCTAGCCCTGAGGAAACTGAGTCCTGGGGACATTTCCCCAGCTCACCTTCTGCTTTAAAACATTCCCCCCCAGTCTTACCAACTACTAAAATCAACCAACTCGACCGTGTGATATTCGGCTTTCCCATTCATTCAGTGAGTGCTGCTTGTTCCTGCAGAAGCCAGAAAGCAGAAGCTTTCCACGGCCGTGAACCTACCTGGAAAATGTCGCTGGCACACTTCCTACACAGGTTGTGCTGGCAGGGCAAGATGACCACCGGCTTGGTGAACATCTCCAAACAGATGGGGCAAATCAGCTGCTTCTCCAGGTTATCCATGGTCTGCTGCTCTTTGGAGAAGGACTTGTAGTTCAGGGAGGTGCTCATCCCTAGCTTTTCCAGGGGCATACGCTCAGGATCAGGGCGTCGCAGCTCGGTTTCCGGGTTAATTTCCCTTGAAATAAATCCAAGGCTCCGCCGCGATCAGAGGCTCGCTGGGCTGTGCTCACTGGAGGACATTGTTTAAACGGGGGGCTGAGGGGAGCCGGGGCTGTTTTTAGCAGCGCGGCGTCACGAGATGCCATTCAGCCGTGCCCATATAAGCGCGTGAGAGGAGGACAGGCTGGGACAGGTGACGGCTCCCGGGGGGCCGGGGGGGCAGCTGCAAGGCCCTGGCTCTCCTCACTCACACATGGCAGCCTTCACCCCCCCCCCGGGAGGAGGCCGAGCGATAAGCAAGCGCCATCTGCTCCCCGCTTATCGCAGGCACTCAGTCCAGCGATAGGATGAACACCGAGGAGGCCATGTGGAAGCTGCAGTTTGGGCCTCAGGTTTCGGCAGGCTCCAGGAGCTGGCCTGCCCAAGGTGTGGAGCACATGAAGTCCCCTGAGAAGGCAATAAAAGCAATGGCTGCTCTCGGGCTCGGTTAATTCAGGGTGTAAACCTGTCACCACCTTGAAAACCAGCTTAAAAAAATCGCCTGCCTATATCTGCACTTAATGTCCAGTATGATTTTTTTTAGGAGCTCTAACATCAGAATCTAACAAGACTGTTCAACACATTAATTCCACAGCAGCTTTAACATGCCCCAAAAAACATTATTTGAACTTCCCGATGGGAAGGAGTCAGAAGAAATACAGTATGAAAAGCTTTAATTTGCACTGCTAGAGAATATGTACTAATTGTACAGTCTCTCTCTCTCTCTCTGCACAGTTTAATTCAAATACATTTTAGTTTTGGGCACTGCTGTGTTTGTGTCTGTTTATTAGACACTGATATCCCTCTCAGCTTGGCACTTGCTCTGGAGTTATTTTTAAAATGACAATTTCCCAGATAATCTGTGGCATGTGATGCCTGATCTTAAGGGAAAGCCATCTGTGCTTCTACTTGCCAATAATTTATCACACAACTGTACAAGTAATAAATATCTTGTCCTCAATTTAAGCCAAAGTCCCCACATGTACTGTATAAAATCACTTTGCAACTGTACTGTATGTGGAATCAGTATATTGTCTGCTCTTTTAATCAATAACTTTAATACTTTGTCCACTGAGTGTCTTGTGGAAAACTCTCATATTTATGTTGACTCCTAACCCTGTAGTGTTTGGATATGACACATGTTATATACAGCAGCTGAATGAATCTCCTGCATGTCCTGGGGCAGACCCCAACTCCCTTGATCTGTATGCCACACCAGTCTGCAACCTGGGCAGTTCAGGAACACAGAAAAGCGAGGGTTTTCATTGATTTCCACATGAAAATGATTCGTATTCTCTACATGCAACGACAGTGAATCACATTAAATTCAGTGTATTACTGATTAGTTTTTATTTTCAAGGCCTTGCATAATTTCTAAGCATTTGGGTGAAACCCTGTACCCATTTGCAGCCCACCAAGCCAGAATTTCACCTACGTAAAAATACAAATTTGCCAGCAGTCACTTAAAAACAAGTAGCTTTTGCTGAAATCTTGGTTCGATGAGAAATGTGTAGCAGTTTAGTTGAACTGGTTTGAAGCCACACCTTTGGTTCAGCTCCCTGATGTAGACAAGCCCTTGGGAGCTGCACGGGGAAAGCTGCGCTGGCAGCTGAGCGGCGGACAGCTGGGGCTTTTGGCAGGGGTGGAGGGGAGTCGTTCCTGGCAGCAGCAAGGCGATATTTCTCTTCTCTCCCTGCCCTCTGTGGCCAGGTCAGAGGTGACTTTGGTGTCTGGAGGAATCTGAAGGCCTCATGCTGCCCCTGCCTCAGCTGCCCCTTGCACATCAAAACCTGCGTGAATAAGGAGCTTTATGCTGGGTGAGAAAGGCTTTCCTTGCACGGCGAGGCAGATGCTTCCACCCGGCAGTACAGTGAAACTCTGTGAGGAAAAGCTGAAGGTTAAAAATGCCACTGTGTAGAGACATCTGTGTACAGCGATGTGTGTAGCAGGGGGCATTGAAAACACAGAAAAACCCAGGGGCACTTAGGTCAATGAACTAAGGCACCTCTGAAGGTGCAATGTGTACCTGGGACGTAATTCTAGGAAAACTATACTTACCTGTGATGACCCACAAAAGTCTTCATTTAACCGTCTAGAAGTGGCATCTGAAGCATCTGCAGAGGACATCTGATGGCCTCTGCACCCACCAGCCCTGACGGCTCTCTCCCTTGAAGGAGCCACCAAGCCAAGCCATCTCTCAACGGAGCAACACGGGGCAAGGGGATCTGCCTTAGCTCTGCACCTGCACAGAAACTCTGGATACCTGCCAGCCATCACAAAGGTTGCAAGGGTGTTTTTTTTTTATTGCGTCTTTTTTACAGCATAGCTTGCCTGGGAGTGTCACCTGGCTTTGCTTACACAACCAGAAAACTAGCTCCTAGAGCTATGCTGCTTTCTAGACATCACTTCTAACTCCCCTATTTTTGCAGTGCATCACAGCTTGCGGTCTGTGGACTGAGGGCCAGGAGAGCCTGGAAGGCTGGCTGCAAAGCAGTGGGTTTAGGAAAGGGATTTGAAGGCGGAAGGAGAGGTTGAGTGATGTCCAGGTTCAGGTTTCAATACCATAATGACATCCCTGGGCTTTGCATTCAGAGAATTCCCCTTTGCAACCTCTTATCTTGTACCAGCGGCATGAAGCTCTCATCTGTCAGTCACAGGAAATCTGCCCTATTGCTCTCTTGCCTGACTGGAAAACAAAGGGAAAAGTGTGTTTTCACTGCAGGGTAACTCCCACGTGCCTTACCTTGCCATAAAGCTCAGCAGGGACAGGGCTCACTCTGCAAGCACCAGGCTCCCTGCCTGGGTGAGGATGAGGCTGGTGAGGATGAGGGGTGCTCTCCACCCATCTCACCTCCATCTGTGCCCATTTACCCCACAGTCAGCAACCCCTTAGCAGTGGATGGTGAACACCAGCATTCCCACCTACAGCAGGCACATTGCAGAAACTCAAATTTCACTTATATTTGCAACAAGGTATTAAGCATGTGAGCTAGCTATAAGATGAAGCCCTCCTACCTATGTAAATGCAAACTGCAAACAGTATCTTGTATTTCACGATTTTATTGTCATCACTAAACATCCCTCAATAAATACTAAACCCACCCTTTGATGTACAGGACTCAATGCTGCAATAGAGAGCCTTTGCAACAGGGACAGGAGCTTTCAAAAACAGCTGCCTCTTGAGATGGACATTTTTCAATTCAACATATACATTCATCTTTGTGTACATTATACATAATGATAGGCAATATGCCTATATGCAATATGACCTTCTAGACACAATCTGGGAGATGGTTTCAGGTGTCCAGGGAAAGACGGGCCTGCACAGGAGGTAATGACATCTTCCAAAAGTTCTCTTTGTATATTTGAGATCACAGCAGCAGAGGCAAGCTCAAAGCATTTTTACGGGTGATTCACTTGAAGCACATGAAATGTGCAGGGGCACAGGATTTCAGGCACAAGCTAGGAAAAAAAAAAAAAAAAAAGTAGCCAGAGTGTTGATTTCTGTCCTTTTCTTTTGATTAGGACATCCAACTGAATGTAATTGTGCCAGAAAGAAGCCTTTTCCTCTGGGTTTATCCATGCTCAAGAAGCTTCCATGGTTTGCAGCAAACAGACAGAAACATGGGATAAAAGGGTAGGTGAAATAAATCATCATTTTCATTCCAGATTCATAAGCAGTACCAACATAAACACCAGCAGGCAATTTTCAGAGACTTGGATTAAGACCCTGAAATGGGGAGAGTCCGTGGATGAGCTCCAAGGGGAAGTCACCTCCACGTGCCGTGGCTCTGCTGCCGGCAGGATGCCAAGCCGTGGTGTTGCTGCCCCTGGATGTCTGCAGGCTTCCAGAAAGAAGGTCCCACAGCTTCCTGCTGCCACCCAGCAACACCAGCAGGCCAGCATGAACCCAAACGTCACCTGGCCTTAGGGGACACAAGCTCTGCCTCCTGCAGAAAGTCCCAGTTTACTCAAACTCCGTCAGATCAGGATTAGAAAAGGTGGTCAGGCTGTGCTCAACAGTGAGGCAGGGCAAACCTGAACTGTGATCAAGACAAGGCATTAAGCATCTCTGTAATTATCTGTATTCTCAAAAATCTCAAAACGAGTGAGCCCGAAAAGGCAGGCTGCCCAAGCAGTGGAATAACAAACAGAAGATTACAGATTCAGCTTCTCCCTCAGCCACACACAACTTTACAAGCCCAAAGGTTCCCAAGCCCTCATTCCCTTTTGTGTACTTTGGACTCTTGAGACATTACTGATAGAAAGAGATCTACACTTCACATGCAAGGCATAAAAGTATGTCCAAACTGCTGCATGGGGAAGAAACTGACCCACATGACTGACCACCTAAAAATAGGTCCTCTCCAGGGCTAAGGACGCGTTTCAGAGATAACAGGCTTGATTTTCCACACACTGAAATATGTGCTGCGGAAATACGCCCTGAGAATGAGACACAAAAGGAAAGGTTATAAATAAAACAAAACCAGGCAGAAAATGGAAGAATACAAGCAGGAATCCTTCATCCTCTCAGAGAGTAAGTGACCAAATGCTTCACTCTTTTAGCACATCTAGCCCTGACCCTTTCCCCTCCACTTTGCTATGCTAAGAGCACAGCATCCCCTGGGAGCCTGTGGATCATGACTAAATGCCTCCCCTGTTACCAGAGGGGAAGGCACGACTGTTTTTTCCCTGAATCGTTCTTGTATTTCATAGAAAACACAGCTACTTAGCGCTGGATTAAGGGAGGATGAGTTGGTGATGTGGGGCTGGATGCAGGTAGCCCAGACGGCAGTGGTAGGGGGACCTCCCAGGCCAACCAAAATTTAATGAAAAAATGATAGCAGAGTTTTGGCAGTAGAAATTTTGACCAGGGAACAGATCTCATTTCTGCCTTGTCCTTGACAACCCATAGTGCTCCCCTCCAACCCCCCAGTTCTATCATCAGGAGACGACAGCGATGTTCAGCGGAGAAGTGATTTGTGTTTGGCAGCACAGATCCAGCTCAGGCGTCCCAGCTGGTGTCAGCTCATCGCTTCGCAGAGATGCAGCCTTGGCCTGGGGTCACGTTTCTCCCCAGCCCTGGT